TCCTTTGGCACCGAAGGTTTAGGCCCTTTCGGGTTTGTCTTCACCTGCAGAAGGACGAGCTCCGGACTGATGCGTGCATTTAGGGTTTAGGGTTTAGGGTTTAGGGCTTCAGGGTTAAAGGGTGTATAGTGATTTTAGGCTTGCGGGAGCATGGGTGTTAAGAGCTCGTTGATCCTAATTTGCGGCCTCCAATGCCTCTGCGGACGGATGAAGGTCGCCAGATGCATGAGCGAAACTTCACGGGGTGGCACTCACCACTGGACTCAAGACTTCGCAGTGCTGCAGATAGCACCTGAGGGCCCAAATGAACCCTAAAAGGGCTTGCGGTTCACATACCTTAAGAAGACTTATAGTAGTACAGGGCATATGACCCAAATTGAAGGTTCACTTGGTCCCCAAGGCAGGTAGCACTCAGCAAATGTCCAGCACCAGTTAGTAAAGTGACATCAGCGGACCTCTGCCAGTAAAGGTGTGGTCCGAAGAATCCGAAACCGCAGGGCGCTAGCCCGAAGAGCGTAAAGGTCTTACAGAACTGGTGCAGGATCCTGTGAATATTTGCCAATGATAACCCTATCTATAAATGCATATATATATATATGTCATACACTACCCTATATACACATATAGGCCACTTTACCACTTTACCACTTTAGTTGCCAGGTCGCCCCCGCCCCCCCCCCCCCAAAAAAAAATAAAATAAATAAAAAAAATCAACAACTCAAAATCGCCAAAAAGCGAACGAGGGGGGGAGACCTGGCCTCCTGTCGAGCAGGATGTGCTGGGTTTAGGGTGTTGGGTGTAGGGTGTAGGGTTTAGGGTTTATAGGGTTGAGGGTTTAGTGTTTAGGGTTTAGGGGCAACCCGATTCTGGAACCCTACTCAAGGCAACTTGTTCTTTCCAGCTTCTTAACCTTAACCCAGTCAGCCACGACCCCTAAACTCACAACCTGAATCGTCTCCAATCTCGCGGCCGTGTGGCTGTTCTCTTCAAGGCCCGGCGTTTGGGGTTTAGGGTTCTAAAACATTTCAAACCCTAAGCACGCGTCACTATTTCTGTGGCCCCATGCGCGCCCGACCCTAGCACCCTACGCCCTGGACCGTTCGCTGAGGACATCAGCCATATAAGAACTCCTGTCCTTGGCAGGTGGCCAAATGGCAAATGAAGTAGTAGAGTTTAGGGCTTCGAATTTCACAGATCTTCTTTCAAGCGAGATGTGCTGGAAACAAAGTCATAGGAGATCCATGACGTTCGCTCCTTTTAGGCTTTACGAGTAAATTGATACGGGGGTTTCCGCAATTAGGGGTACCTTGTTGGGGGCCTGATGAAAAGGTATCCGACTATTTGGGAATCTATATTGGGGGTCCCGCTTTTCGTTTGCGCTCATAGATACTTGGAGGTTGAGGGTGCTTCTAATCCCAAGAATTAACTGTACTTTGAAGCCCCCTAAGTCCCCAAAGTAATTAGGCTATAAGTAGACTTACAACTGGTGCTATAAGTATCCATGAGCCTCCAAGTAGGGTGCAGGAATGGAGCTAGTATTCAGGAGTTGATGGCAGGCCACGTGCTCCAGGAGTTAAAAAACGTCTCCGAGCAACTGAAAGGAGACCCCGCCAACCCTAAACCCTAAACCCTAAACCCTAAACCCTAAACCCACGGCGGGGTGCTCGGGATAAAGGTTTTGGCGTCCTGCGGGATCAGGATGCACTGCAACCCAAAACCCTGATCCCTCTTGCGGCCTGCACCTGTTTCTAGGGCGTTTAGGGTTTAGGGTTTAGGGTTTAGGGTTTAGGGTTTAGGGTTTAGGGTTTAGGGTTTAGGGATTGCACGCTGTTCTCGACGGAGTGTAGGTTGGGGTCTTGGTGTTTGGGACTTTTTGTGTCCGTCGCCTACGTCGCGATCCATCCAGATACTAGCTCTCTGACCCCTAAACCCCGAACCCTAAACCTCCGACAAACTAAGAATCCGACGGGGCCCAGGGTTCAACAGCCCCAAACACCCGTGCTCCTTTCGGGCTTTGAGATTTGGGAAGCTCAGAGTTTAGGACTAGGGTTTAGGGTTCAGTGCTAGGGCTAACCCTAAACCCTAAACCCTAAACCCTAAACCCTAAACCCTAAACCCTAAACCCTAAACCCTAAACCCTAAACCCTAAACCCTAAACCATTCGTCCAGCTTCAGGTGCATGCCCCCCTCTCAGCTTCCACGAGATCGACGGCCGACACTAGGATTTCTGCTTCTCCTGAGGGGGCACAAGATGGTCGGACCTTAAACCCTAATTACTCCTGAACCCTAAAGAACCGACGTAATCACATCACAAACCCTAAACCCTAAACCCTAAACCCGAAACCCGAAACCCTGGTGGGGGGGGGGGGGTTAGGGTGTAGGGTTAGGGTTTAGGGCTCGACGCCTTGACCGATCAAGCCTACTTGAAGCTTCATGGGTGGTTAAAGCTAGGGTCATGTTTAGGGTTTAGGGTTTAGGGTTTAGGGTTTAGGGTTAGGGTTTAGGGATGATCACCACAATAACTGTCATATACCCTCAAAAATCAACTCTACTTTAAAACTACCCATGAACCTTCAAGCAAGGCCTCCAGCCTGTCTCAGCTTCAAGCCCCCATGTGCCACAAAGGCCTATAGGCTTGAGGTCGCAAAAAGTAGGTGTAGGGTCTAGGGTCAGGGGTTCTGGGGTTTAGGGCTGATAGGGTTTGGGGCTAGCGATGTATGGGTTTCGGGTTCTAGGCTTCAGGGCTGCAAGGGTTTAGGGCTAGGGATTTACGGGTTTCGGGTTGTGGGTGACCCTAAAGATATACTCACCTAAAACATGCCAAGATAGGATGCTCTCAAAACAAGAGTAAGCGAAAGGATACCATAGACCCAAGGCCTACCAAGCGTCATGCCCCAAGCCCAACAAACCTTCAACTGCCTCAGCTATTCAGCCCGCATCTGCGCACTCAAAAGTCATGAGCCCTACAAACCCTAAACCCTACACCCTAAACCTACCCTGCATAAAGCCTAAGTCCTGAACTCCTCTGATTCTCAACCCTAAACCTCATGTCCCTCCTCCAACGCCTTCTGGGCCTTCCTGAGCCGTTGCACCTGGTTTAGGGTTTAGGGTTTTGGGGTTTGAGGGTCTCAGGGTCTCAGGGTTAAAGTATGCAGGTGACCAGGACAATGTGAACGCCTCGGCCGGCACGGCAGCGTGCAAAGGGAAGTGTCTTGCTCTAGACCCTGAACCCAAACCGGGGAGGGGGGGAAGGTTGTAGCTGGTATGCAAGGTTTAGGGTCTAGGGTCTGTGGTTTGAGGGTTCAGGGTTGATTAGGGGCACCAAAACCCTTCCCCCACAATCTCAAACCCAGATTCGAGGTGATGAGGAACATGTCTGGTTTCTGGGTTTCCCAATCAGCAGGGAGAAACAAACGTGTCCCGTTTTGGTGTAAGTAATAACTCATAATGACATAGGGTTTAAAAGGAATTCCGACCCTAAAAGGGGGGAACACGGTTGTCCGTTTTAAGGCTTCGTTTTTGGGTGGATTGGGGACGCGCCTTCTGGGTCAGCTGCCAGCGCTCCTCCACAGTCTGCGCGTCTTCGGCAAAAAGCAGCTGCGGGTCGGCGTCGGCCAATCCTCAAAAGAAATAGAGATTAAACCTAAACCCTAAACCCCAAACCCGCCCTCCACAAGAGGACTGTTTAGGCGCAGTGGTCCTTGGAGTGTCGTTTTTGTAGGGCTTGGGGCTTAGGCGAAATTGATTGTTGAAAGGCTAGTTTAGGGCACCATACAGGGCCCATGAAAGAGACCAAACCTTCCCCTGCCCAGCACAAATTAAGGTTTAGGGTTTAGGGTTTAGGGTTTAGGGTTTAGGGTTTAGGGTTTAGGGTTTAGGGTTTGAAAATGCTCGGGTTATGGGCTTGGGGTGGTGTTTTGGCCCGAGGGCTCTCAGAACACTGTCCACAAATGCCACGGCATGAAACTCCAGAGACTGTCATAAACGGAAGTTTAGCGTTTAGGGTTGGGGAACTACCGTCCTTAATAGGGATTCTAGTAAGGGGTACTCTAATCCCTATTCAGGATTGAAAGTATAAGGGCGAACATCTCAAGTTCAGGGAATAGAATTTGGGCTTAAGCAAGGTGTTGGAGCATAGGGGTTGAAGGCATTCAGGGCCATTTGTCGAGTCTATCTAACTTAGAGGATCTGCGGACGTCGTAGAAGTGCGAACAAAGTTGTCATAAGTACCCCAGAATTGACAAAAGTAAAAAAACCCACATTAGTGGGCTCATCCTACCCCCAAAAACTGCCTAAGTCCCCCGATCCTCCAATTGCAAAATGCTCAAGAGGTGTGGCTACCACGCGAGCACAGAAAGCTGCAAGTTGTCATCTTGCTCTGCAGCATTAATTTAGAGCAAGGGCATGATCGTATCTCAGAGCTGGGATTGAAACCTACTTAAGCCCTAAACCCTAAGCCCGTGCAGAATTGTTAGACACAAAGTTGCGGGTTGTGGTTGAGGGTTTAGGGTTTAGGTTTAGAGTTTAGGGTTAAGGGTTTAGGGTTCAGGGTTGTGGAACACAGATTCCTGCTGAGGCACTCCTCAACACCAGATCGGGCATCGCCTCGACAACTGCACGCAGGAGGAAGGTGTCGACATCCCGAGGGAGCTGGTCACAGAAGCGCTTCAATGCCACCTGCCCCAACATAGCCCAAAATAGGGGCCTTAATAATTAAGGCAAAGTGTTTTGGGGGGCTAGTATAGTCTAATCAGATATGGGCCATAAGGGAATAGTATTAAACAATAGTAATTCTTCCGACCTACGTATATTCTACACGGGCAAACTACAAACATAGACTGACAGACGGGACGGCGCAGCAGATTGCCACGGTAAGGCCTCGACGTTTTTGCTGTGCCTGAAAATAGACTGGAACATTGACATCACTGACCGCTGCAGACAGCGTGCATGAGTAGTGGTCCCCGGCGTAACCGAGGAATAAAAGGGTGCCCTTTTTGGTTTTAAGGGGGTTGTAAGGGAACCCCAACCCTAAAAAAAGGACACGAGGGCCTACTCCGGGTCCTAGGTGGTCCACGGACAAGAAGCAACATCAAGTCATGCGCCTTGTGGTATGCCAAAGAGGAAGACATGCACCAGATGGCATCATCGTCCTTGAGGGTTTAGGGTTTAGGGCTTAGGTTCGTTCTCTGCAGGCAGCACATGAAGCAATCGATTGCTCACCAAGCCACGAAGTCTAAGCTCTTGTGCCCTGAACTGCCTATATTGCGGGGCCACCAAGCATCCTCGCTGGGTTCAGCGAGCTGTTGGGGGTTCTTGATGCCACTCTTCGCCAGCAAACCACGAAGGTCGTTCTTCTCTTTGTCGTCCAATTTTGTCCAGTCGACGGTGTAGCCCAGCTCTTGCTTCAGCATGCCTTGCATTTTGTCAAAACTGTCGGTCAGGTAGTGTTCGTTCTGGGTGAACAGATCCTCAGACAGCTCCTGTTTCAGGAGCTTCTCCTTGGCACGATGGCACTCCTCAGTGGCCCTCGTAGCCTCACTCAGCAATGCAGTCCGAAGTTCCTTCTCGAGCCGCGGATAGCCGCGTGCATGAGCAGCCACAGTGTTTTCGATGAGCTCGCACAACTCAGCTGCGACATGGTTGATGCAGGTCGTGGCAGGCACCCTCCACTTCTGCACCGACTTACGCACGATTTCTTGAGCCGCAGCATATGCAGCTGGCCCTCCTGGAAGTCGAAGTTCGCGCCCCTGGTAGTTCTCGATGAGCTCGCGCACCTCTTGGAGGGAGTAGCCGTGCACAGATCCGGATCCGTCCTTCGGGCACCACAGCTTCGCCTTCCACGGAAAAACGATGTCCTCTCCGACAAGCTCGGGTGGTCTCTGCGCAAACGTGCCCACGAGGGGTCTAGATACTTCTGTGTGTTTCTTCCCTTTCAGGACAACGTTTCCCATGTTCTTCCAACCACGTGCCCAACCTCTAGGCTTCGAGGTGGATTCGAGACACAGGACTTCCGTTCCCGATGCGGAAGCATGCACTCCACCCTTGCCATATCCGGCACGATACATGGATTCTTCGGGAAACTTCACCCAAGGTTGCTCACCAGTCTCCACCACTTGCGCACCAACTGGCAAAGAGGTTCCATGCAGGACCAGGCCTTCTTGGAGGACCTTGTCGCAATTCAAGTGCTGGGTGAGGGTCCACCAATCCTCCCAACTTCTCACCTCCACTTCAACATCATGCAAGCTCGTCATGCCGCCATCGTCCAGCACCTTGCGGCCAAGTTGGAAGGTGGGACGCAATTGGCGGCATTCGTCCAGCAAACGCCTGTGGTGCTGCTTGATGTGCTTCCAGAAGGTACGATGCTTGCCTTTCGCCTCAATCGCATCGTGGAGCTCACCCTTCACCCCCTCCAGGATGCGGATTAGCTTGATCTGCGCATCTCTGGGTTCCACGCCTTGGCCCAGCTTCTTGAGCTCCTGGCGTGATCAATCCAGTAAACGTTTGCAGCCATGACTTATAGGGCCCCCACTAGAGAACACCGGATTATGACTCGTCACGAGGTGCTGTGATCTTTCTGAGTTGGGGCGGGCCATGATCTTATGTGGCCAAGGCAAGCAATCACAACAACGAACGCACTTCTCCTCCTCAGCTTCGTCCAGTTGCGCCATCACATTTCTCTGTATCTTCGGCAACCTTACTTGTGCATAGACTCAAGTAACTTTGCAAGTAGGCTAACAGTAATTGCTGGTTGAAGCCGGCGTGTCTGCATTGCAGCCCAAGCAAGACACCATGTATGCTCCAACTAGAAGGAACCTTGGCCCATCGTTCTATTTAATGCAGCACTGTCTACATTGTCGTTAATATTATTCTTGACTTGAATGCTGAAATGCAGCTAGGGGCTCTTGCAGGATCAGATGACTCAGTTGTTCGCTGAGGAAGTCGCGAAGATTGCTGGTCCCACAACGTCTGCGAACACCCTGCCACTTGAGGCCATCGAAGAAATTGTGTTCGCTCTTCCGCGCTTGTTCATGCGTCATGCCCTCCTGCAGCTCGTTCTGCGCAGGGTTCTTGACGGCATAATACCCGTGCTGCAGAAAGTAATCCTCTGTGGGCTCGGAAAGGAGTTGCATGCGTTCGCCCTCCAGGCCTTCTGGAATCTTGTCAGCCTTGGTCAAGATACCTACGGTGCGTTGCCCATCAGGATCGAACTCCTTTGCCATCGCCCTCACCTTCTGATTTTCCAGGTCATCGTCAAAGGGGCAGCACATAGCGATGAGCGTGTTCGAGCGCTGAATATACTCACCTTGACCGACATCAGGGTTTACGAAAATAATTACGGGACACCAGATTCGGTCCCCCAAACAGTAGGAAGTTAGTAGGATTCGCTCATAGTAAGGACCCCGAAATGGTACCTTAAGTTTGCACACACAAACAACACAGCCGTCCTAAGAACTTCGGACACATCACCGTTCAATGTTGTAATGAGCTCCACTAGCTGCTCATCTTGGGCAGACGCGATCAACCCAGGCAAATCAATCAGCTGCAATTCCGCAAACCCTTCAGCTCGGATCTCAACTTGCACCACGTCCCGGGTAAACTCCACCATTTTTGTTGCCTGGCTCTCCTCCACCAACTCCTTCAACGACTCCACCGTGTGCTCGGGCTCTTCCAAACCCACCCTGATGCTTGCAAGGAGGTCCGGGCGCAGCAGAACTGTTTGAGCCAGAGCCAAAAGCTCCGCAACCTCCGATCTCTCCGAGGTGGTGGCGAGCATCTGCCTGGTACGACCCAAAGAATCTAAGTTTGCGCACCGAAAGCTGACTGTGCACTGGAAGTCGGCGTCCGAGGGCAAGGTGTAAATCTCGAATGCGCACCGAGTGCACGTGCCGGCGGCACGAGGTAGCGCAATGCCTGGTTCGGCTTACACCCCATAGCCTACAAACCCTAAACTCTGGCAGCTTTTGAAGGGGGGCCAATCTTCGGGTAGTTACATGGTCCCTGAATATGGGCCCTTAAATTAGGACCCTTTATACAAATTCAGGGCCCATACTTCAGAACGAGCTAAGGGACCATCTTAAGGGCCCATATAAGCACCCTTAGAGGAAAACGTCCTTCGAGTCGCTGTGTTTAGGGTTTAGGGTTCAGGGTTTGGGGCTTAGGGCCCTCAATGCCCTAGTGAGAAGCCGCACAGCCTGAACCACAAGTCTGAAGTCGATGGCTTACATTCAAAACCTTGGTCTTGGTCTTTGCCTAAGTGTCTGAAACCAAAAGGTTCAGGTTTAGGGCTAAGGGTTTAGGGCTTAGACCTCAAGGTTTACGGGCCGTTTAGGGAAGCATTCGATACAAAACCCTCAACCCTAAACCCTCAACCCTAGACCCTAAACCTTTCTGGCAGCTTGGACTTGCCGCTGCTCTGCTTTCCCACCATGCAGATCCTTGGCAAGTCCACGTCCTCAGAATCCGGGTTTAGGGTTTAGGGTTTAGGGTTTAGGGCTAGGAGGGGGATGCAGAGTTCAGGCTTAGGCCTCAAAGTCTGATGTTCTGCAGGCACCCGGTTGCGGACTACATTAGGGGCCTGTTTAGTTGAAATGGGCATTGTGGGGAGGGAGTGTAGGATCTAACGCGACAGAGACTCTGTAATACAGAAGGAGATTGTCTATTGAGGCAAGCTTTCGGGCCCCTGCACTGGCTGTGGACTGGCGGGCTTAAGGGTTTAGGGCTTATGTTGTTCCGACTGGCTCAAGGATGGGGTTTGGGTGAGGATCACACAGCCATCAAAGCAGGAAAAAAGCAGGGGTTCTCAGGGAGGGTTCGTTGGTTCATGGCATGGGTCAGTGGCGGCAGAATTGTTGGCGGCTTCTTGGCGGCGAGGGGAGAGGGTCTAGGGCGAAAATACGTATGAAGAACTAATAATTAATAATGGGACTTGCGACGTAGGCACCATAGCCCTGAAACTGAGCAACAATCCAGAATTGAGGGTTGAGGGTTGATGATTTAATTCGGCTCAGAAACCTCCTAACCACAACCCAGGTCCCTACTGACTGGCATACTTCATGGCAAATAGGGGTCGGAAGTATTCCCCTAGGCTCCCTTGAAGATTGTACTATAGTAACCCATAAACACTGTTCCCATTATTCAGGCCCCTATATTAAATTGGCCTGAAGGCCTAAGGCTTGAGTCATCCTAAACCCTAAACCCTAACACCCTGGCCCCTAAACCCAAAACCCCAAACCGTAAAGCCCAAACCGGCCTTTAAGGATACTAGGGGGCGCATCCGGCATGCTGCAGACAGGCTGCGGCATCGACGCCGAGGTCACGGAGCCGGCGAATGATATCCATCGCCTTCATGCCAAAGGGTTTAGGGTTTAGGGTTTAGGGTTTAGGGTTTAGGGTTGATTTACCACCACCACCACTCCCCCTCCCAATCACTTGAAGACGCAAACAAGGGTGGTAGGGTGGGGGGTGGGGGGCCTGTTAGGAGGGGCGGATGAGGAGCAGCGCAAACCCTAAACCCTAAACCCCTAACGCTAAACCCCATAAACCCAAAACCCTAAAAGCCAAAACCCTAAACCCTAAACCCTTAATAGTAATCTTACCACCAGTTCAGGATGCCTCCATCGACGACCCGGACCACTGGCACCTGAGAGCAGTTTCTCGCGGACCAGCGGAATCCGATCAAACCAGTAGAGGAGCGTGTATTGATTGGGATGTTCCCCCGCTTATACTAACAGTCCTTAATAGGGATTATAGATAAAGGACTGTTAGACAAAGGGGCAACGACCATGTAAGTCCCTTAGATGGTCCTCGCCTAAAGAACTTGCGAAGATGCCGGATTGTTTGCACTCACAGTACCGCCTGCAATCGATTTCCAACAATTCGGATGATCAGTACTCATTCTTAACAGAGGAAAACCTGACCCAGAGTATGAGCAGCCAAAGGATCAAAGTTCGGCCCTCAGACAGGCGAAGCAGAGAAAACCCTTAAACCAGAGTAGGTTCCGATTCGATCTGATTCAGATAAATTTTAAGGGGGTTAGTATGAATATGTACTGCGAGGGCAAGGGGTGATTTGGGGGTTTACGAAAATAAGGCAACCCCGAATATAGATCCCGAACAGTAGGATTCCCTTGTAATATGGACCCCAAAATAAGGTAACCCTCAACCCTAAATCCGAAACTTCCTACACTTCCTAAACCCTAAACCCTCATTTCGGAAACCCTCACATCAGCCGACGCCGCCGGCGCTGCAGCCGCCATGTCGGGCCAAAGAATGCCAGCGGTCGTCTCCAGCTTCTTGCACATCCTGGGAGCCGGGGGTTTAGGGTTTAGGGTTTCGGGTTTAGGGTTATATCTATCTATATACGTATCTTATTTATCCATATTTCTTAATTTATGATATATATATATATATATATATGCATACATATATATATATATGTATATATGGTCAGCCCCCCCCCCCCCCCCATGATCCACACCTATGGTTTTCCTGTCTTCGTCTTTGTCTGATTTTCTGCTTTTTCCTCGCGAAAATGCAGTAAAAACTGCACTGGAATACAAAAAGCTCCATTATATTATCCTCTATAAAAACACTAGTGTTTTTAATGTGCATTTTGCTTCTGAAACTTGGGTCTTGCGGCTCCATAAAATTTTAGAAGGGTAGCCATTTAGAAGTTTAAGGCGTTTCAGGGTTTTAGGGGTTTGTGAAAATTTAGATGATCTGAAGAAGGCACCGGGGCTTCCCCAGACCATTTGCAATTTTGAAAGTCCTTAAAAAAGGGGCAGCCCTTTTCAAATTTGAAGGGCTTTAAGGTATTTAAAGCCTTTCAAAATTTTCAAGATTTAAAGGATCTTAAAAGGCTTTAAAGCCCTTAAACAAGCTCGAAACGTTTATCCCTTAAAAGTCTAAAATTCCTTAAAATTTAAAACGGGCAGCCGTTCAAAATTAAGGAAGTTACGGATTTTAGAATTGAACATCCAAAAAATCTTTAAACTTTAAAAGGACAGCCATTTGCAACTGTAAGAATTTCAGGGTTTTACGGACTTGTAAAAATTTATATGGTCTGGGGAAGGCAACGGGGCTTCTCCAGACCAAAGGCTGCACAGGCTTTCATACCTTCATAATCCTGAGAATGTTTAAACAGAAGCTCAAAGATTTTTATAAGATTTTAAGGATTTTAAAAGTTTAGATGGTTTGGGGAAGCCCCAGTGCCTTCCCCAGATCATGAAAACTTGCAAAAACCCTTAAACCCCTTAACCCTAAAAACCAAACCCGAAACCCTTAACACTAAACCCTAAACACTCAGCACCAGACCCTAAACACTAACCCAAAAACTTAACACTAGGCCCTTAGCACAAACCCCAAACACTTAGCATTAAACCCTAAACACTTAAGCACTAGACCCTAAACACTAAACCCTAAACACTTAAAGACTACACCCTAAAAACTAAACCCTACACATTACACACTAAACCCTACACACTAAACCCTGAACACCAGTAAAAATCCTTTAAACCCTTAATCCAAAAAACCAAACCCGAAACCCTTAACACTAAACCCTAAACACTCAGCACTAGACCCTAAACACTAACCCTAAAAACTTAACACTAGGCCCACGAACCCCAAACACTTGACACGAAACCCTAAACACTTAAGCACTACTAAACCCTAAACACTCAGCACCAGACCCTAAACACTAACCCTAACAACTTAACACGAAGCCCTTAGCACAAACCCCAAACACTTAACAGGAAACCCTAAACACTTAAGCACTAGACCCTAAACACTAAACCCTAAACACTTAAAGACTACACCCTAAAAACCTAAACCCTAAACATTACACACTAAACCCTACACACTAAACCCTGAACACTAGTAACAATCCTTAAAAACCCGCAACCCAAAAAAACGAAACGCTCAGCGCTGAACCCTAAACACTCAGCACTAGACCCTAAACACTAACCCTAAAAGCTTAACACTAAGCCTTTAGCACGAACCCCAAACACTGAACGCGAAACCCTAAACACTTAAGCACTAAACCCTTACTAAACACTAAACCCTAAACACTTAAACACTACACCCTAAACACTAAACCCTAAACATTACACACTAAACCCTGAAAACTAAACCCTAAACCCTAAACAGAAGGATTTTTCAAGTTGTCAATGGTCTGGGGAAGCCCCGGTGCCTTCCCCAGATCATTTAAATTTGTAAAAACCCTTAAAACCCTTAACCTAAAAACCAAACCCGAAACCTTTAACACTAAACCCTAAACACTAGCCCTAAAACCTTAACACTAAGTAAGCCCTTAGCACAAACCCCAAACACTTAGCACGAAACCCTAAACACTTAAGCACTTAACCCAAGAACTAAACCTGACATATTCCAAACTAAACCCTAAACATTAGACACTAAACCCTGAACCCTAAACCCTAAACCCTAAACAGTAATGTCGTATCCTGATTAGTCTGGACCCCTCCAATAATGAAAAGTTTTCCAAAAATTATTCAGGAGACAAAAATTCGATTGCCCCCCCCCCCCCCACAATAAAGTAAAGTTTTTCGGGCATGCGTTTCGGAAGAGACAAAAAAAAGAGAACAAGATGATGAAAGAAAAGAGCAAAAGAAGAGCAGCCTAAGAGGAGAGGGAGAGGAAGAGGAGAGGGAAGAGGAGCGAAGAGGAAATGAAGAGGAGCCGGTGGGGGGGGCCCGGGGCCGAAAATTAGTTTGGGGGGGTCCCTTTTTTTGGTGACACTATTGCGGGGGTGGATTTAGTT